ACATAAGGTTACTGAGAGTTCCCATTATCACAACACTTGTGTAACAACATCCTTATCCTTTACATAATCACAATATAAGACCAGTTCAATTTTTCAAGAAATTTAAAATTAGTTAAACTTGGAATCGTCAAATGTCAATACAATTTACTTTTCATACAATTACTGTCAGCTTTCAAATAACCTGGAAAACTAAAAGGTTATCGTAAATTATCTACAGTTCAAACAAAAGGGCAATTCTAACCGCGATTACCCGGCTTTGATGAACTATTCAAACAGTAAAATCGGCCACACACGTTAGTTTTCCAGGTCTAAATGTTCGTGACAAAACTATACAGCTTTGTGTCATGAAACTCGGTTATGCCAAGGTTATTACCGTAAAAAACCTAACGTGTGTTGCCTGCATAAGTGTCAGTTAGTTTGAAGACTTACTTTAACACAGAATGTATCGACAAACATCGCCTATACTTTCATTTAATTCCATTAAACCGTCAATTTACATGTTTATGTGGCATCCATATTGGAATAGAACTTCTAGAATAATTGGAAGGTATATAATATTCTCTTCTGTATAAAATATCATTACAGTGATTGTTTATATTTACACAAATAAAGTGATGTCCGTGACCTTTCGCACTTCACGTAATTTTGTGTTTTTAATTAATGTAACACGCCTCGTTCATTATAACAAAGTTCAATTCCCATTGAGACGCTCCGACATTATCAATATTTGTACACAGAATTATTTCATTTTACTTTTTTTTGGATATAACAACATAATACGTGATAACGATTTCAAAATGAAAAAGAAATCAGAAATATACTAGGACAGTGTAATCTAATTTCAATTGACGTACACATATCAATTATAAAACCTCATAAATAACATTTATGTAGGCGGAGTTTTTTTCCAATGAATCGTCTGCGATAGGCGTGGTCGATACGATATCAATTTATGTTGAAAACGTTTTTAATACCAGTACCGACTTAATTTATACACACCATTTACATACAGACTAATTATCTATCTATATAACTTATACTAGCTTTCGCCCGCGACTCCATCCGCGTGAAATTAAAAAATAATACAAAACATAGCCTATGTTACTCACTGATAACGTAGCTTTTTAATGGTGAAAGAATTTTTGAAATCGGATCAGTAGTTTTTGAGTTATTTCATTACAATCAAACATAGTTTTCCTCTTAATAATATTAGTAAAAAATAACATTAGAGTCTGTATTTGTAATATCATAAGAAAAAGATTGTGATAAGACGATGTATTTGCGTTGCTGATAACAATAATCGCATTTAAATTTTTTATGTCTGTCTGTCCCTAAGCCGCGTTTATTGAACGAATGAAGGAGCGGAAGCCTCACGTTGTAGTTTGAATTTAACTAAGAATATAATCATGTAATAAGTTATTTGTGTCAATTCATTTAAAACGGCTAACCATGTTATTGATAATATCGAGTGAAAAGCAATCTCCACAGCTCCCGTGAGATGCGTCCGCTATACACAAGCCTAATACAAAATAATCTCCATCCAATTACTTTGTACTCTTGTTTATATATATATTATGTTACATAACCCGTGTCTGGGAAATGTTAGCTAGTTTAATGGTTACTGTTTTTAATAATATCTGGATAATAAAAGTCGATTTTAGTCGTATTAAGTGTGATTGGAACTTTTAAAATTGTAATATGAACTAAACATAAAAAAAAACATTGGAAAATAATCACTTCTTCAGTTTTAATAGCCTAGTGAAATAGTAGAATTCTGTAGTTTATGAAAATGCCTATGTTGCAAAAATCGATAAAGAGGTTGGTATGTCAATTGAGTTTCTCGCGCCGGAAGCGATTCGATTGCGTTGAGTCAGTAAGCGCTCTCACTACAAAATGTTTACAAATATTTTTTTATGAATATTATTTCCTTTTTATTTTTGTTTTAATTATTTACACTTATTTATATAAAATGATTTCATGTAAAGTTTCAATACTGTAGATTGCAATATACAAAAAAATGATCAAATAAGTTCCTTAAACTTTTATGTTAATTGCCACCAACAAATGCTTTGAAGTACAGTTGTAAGAATATTGAATTAAAACATAGTTTAGAGGCATATCATGAACGTTTGCGAGAAAGCATTCGTATTTATCGACTTGTACAGCTCTCTATAGGACGTATACACTGGCAAATGTTTTACTTGGTTGTAGACGTTATAATTACGTTATTATATGGTGCTTTGCCACCAGAAAGCTGTATGCAATTCAAGCATAGCGCTCTTAGCGCCCGCATACCTTTGAGTATCCTATCTCACAACTACAATTGCGCTTTGTTTTCTATGACCTTATATGGAGACACACTACTCGATTTTTAGTTGTGCAACTAAACAGTTGAACTGGCGAAACAATCGACAATCGCATAACAGTTGTGCGATTGTCGATTGTTTCGCAGCCGGATTGTGTAGTCAAAGGTCGCGCGCTCTAAATGAACAATTATTAACATAGTTAGTTGCCTGGTTACAGAATAACAAACTAATTGATAAAACATATCTATTGGTGTATCATCGTAATGATATTATGATAAATAAATAAATCACAGACTAGTCTGAATGTAAAAGAAATCAATACTCGTTAACTGAACCTAGACATATAAGGTGAAATGTAGGCTACTGCTATAGTTCGAACACAATATATTTCCGTCTCCCTCTTTCTTTTTAAAGAAAGAAAGAGACAAGAATATGTAAATTCAATCTGCCCATGTTGTACTTTGTGTAAACATTGTACCTTTACAATAAAAACTTCAAGTTAATGCATATGAAATTCTAAAATCGAAAAACATATTGGTACATTCGAACTCTTAACAATTGCGCCACCGACGCTCATTATTTTGGAATATTTAAATAATGTTTTTTAAATAAAACGACATAAAGAAAGCGGCTCTTATACTTTTAATCAATATTAGCTCGCACTAAACCTTTGCGAAGTTTACGTGATTTACTTAATGCCTCATAAAGATTGGCGTTTTTGTTACTTTAAGCATGCGATAACTGTAACAAGCAGTATAAGTGTGATTAGGTTACATAGGTAGTTGGCGTTGTTTGTTAACTACGAGGTGGGCACGCGATGCGGTGGATGTCTCCGTGTCGACTAGGGCTGTCAACAACTAATAAATAAAGCTCTAGATACGGGCAGCGAAAAACGATCTTGTCAACCCTAATCTCATTAAAGGAAATGCATCCAAAATCAACTTTGTAACTAGTGATTTTGATTTACACAACACGCCCGAAAAGATAGAAATCAATTCGAGAT